CGAGTTTGAATACTAGGCAAGAGTAAGAGACTCGGCCGTGGCTGTGCATGCATTAGACACGGGTCACCAGATAAACTTGGAAAGCGTAGAGGTTATTAGGAGGGGTATACGATCAACAACAGCGGTTGATTGCTGGGGTGGTGAACATTGCCAAATCTGACGACTGCCTGAGTAGAATGGACAGGGTAGAACTCCTCAATGCGTAGCGAGCGATCCTAAGCAGACCAGCCTGAAGAGCATCGGTGTGTGGATCAGGTCGGAAATTGCAGACGGACTCCCATTGTCAACACCATGGGCTTATTCGTCAATACTCTGAAGCACAGAGGAACACCTGGACTAATCCCTCTGCTTGAACCACCTGAGGTGACATCACGAATTGTGATTGTAATGACACCTTGGCTCAAGTCTCGGGTAACGCGGTTATCGCCCCTGTTCGTTATGAAATCCCACTCCAATTGCACACTGATTCACCTGGTCTGACGAAGCCCTTGTGTCGACGGCGGAACGTCTCCAAACGACTATACCAACCGATTGTTTCCAAATCACTCTGAACTCTTGACTACTCGATCGGTTGCAACTATCTTCCAAGAATTCAAACAATTTTTAGTCCTTCACACAAAATTTTATAACCCATCGTTACTGGTTAAATAGAGGCAATCTGACACCGTTACAATTGCTAACCTCGCAGGTAAGTGAGCAATAGACAGTATTAGTAGTCGTTATATCAAAATCTTCATGCCTACGAGAATAGCACAAATGCAGTAAGCCTTGACGAGATAGAACGACTCTAGACCGGTAGAGAATAAGCCTATATAAAATCAAGAAAAACAGTCTGAGGTAAACCATTCTTTTCAATGATCCATCTACGGGCCGGTACAAATTATACTAGGTTAAAATACGAAAGTAAATGCACGGTGGTTGGTTCAGACGTAGGTCAATGCTTTGACAGCAGATAGTTGAATCTCTGTCTTTCACACACACACAGATCGATAGGTGTTACTTAATCAAACTGACGACACCGGGTGTCAGAGTGACGGTTAGGTTGACTGCTGTTTAGCTGTGGTAGACTAGCGATTGAACAAACTTCTTTTTTGCGCAAAGCGGAGTTGGGAATATTCGGATCGCAATTGCTTTTGCTATGTCGAGCATTCGTAGACGCAGACCTTCAACTTGTTCAAGGGGACCTGAGAGCCACAGTAAATGCGTTCGGAAGGTTAACCCTGTGACCTGATTCGAATAGGTGGGAGAGAAATCCGCTTCCCAAAACTCCAGTGCCTTAGTTCGACAACCACTTAAAACTATGTTCGTTAATGCGATGTGACAACTGGCGAGCTGTTCGACGTATGTATGTTGCATTACAGGTGCACTCAAACGATAGACTTTGTAAGAGGAGGTCAGCTTCGACCGTCTATCCTTATTGCACACAGGAATAAGTGGTTTTGTGGCAAATATACACCGCAATTCCGCAGCTAGAAAAGTCTTCTTTCCCGACTGTCGGTTTTCTTGTTATAAGCTCCGCAGTTGTATCGCCTTTGAAACCAAGGCGAATGAAGAGGGCTTTCTTTCCAGCTACTTGCTCAACGTCCGATGTTATGTTGAGTTGCATGTTGCGCTGTATAAATCTATCCGGATAGCCATTTTCATGTGGCGTGTTCTGTATGGATTTCCTTTCATCGTCTAAAGCAACTTCAGAACAGATCTTTCGAGCCCTCAACGTGAGACAACGCACTAAGTTACCTTTGGATTTAAGCGGCATGAAACTACTGAAGTTTGTATATTGGCCAGTCCGCGTTTTCTTTCAGTTGATCCTCCTTAATATGAATTCACCAGTTCGCCTACTCAGGTCTACATCCAGAAAACTGAGCTGTCCCTCTATTTCGTATGTGAACTTCATTGCCGGGTACGCATTATTGAACTCCACCACTATATCCTACACTTAAGTCCTTGGTCACACAAAAGATGTCGCCCATGGAGCGATAGTACAGGTCGAAACGATCTATGAGTGGACTCAATGATTCATTTTCTAGTTTCGCAAGGAAAATATCCGCCAGCACTGGCCCAGGTGGAAACCCCATTGGGACTCCGTCATTCTGCCGGTAATCGATGCGGTGTCAAGGAATGGGACATTGTTAGTACAGCACAACAGTAATCCCTTCTGGCTTGGTAAGGGTATACCTAGATAAATATCGTTGTCGTGTACATAGTTACATAGGTGTTCTCTAGTTTCTAGAAGCGGCACTTTCGTAAATAGAGGTTACGTCTAATAAGAACATTTCCTTCTCTTATAGGTTCCCATCTTTAATGTGCTTTACGAATGTAAAACTATCATCCACACTGTGTCGAGCAGTTTGCTTTCTTATGGGTTCCAACATTTCTGCTAACCACTACAATGTAAGATGCTACACTCAGTTTGTCTTGGACAATAGTGGCTGCAGTGGTACACCTTTATGAACTGTTGGGAACCCATACATTCGGGGTATAGATGTTCCACCAGGTCTTATACTTACAAATATGCAAACAGTTATTAACCCGTAGGTGCATAGATGTTTTAGTTTGTCCGACTTATCTCCGCCTTGTCCGTTTGGTACTACGGGCCCAATTTTACAGTAAACGTTTTTGGTCTTGGAGAATCTGGTTCATTTTTGAAGTGTAATCACTTCTTTCCATTATAAGTACACCACTACCTTTATCCGGCTTGCATGCAACTATGTCTTTGTTCTTATTCAACTCGTTTAGGACTATCAGATGTTTGCGTGAAAGCAGGCCATGTTGATTTGCCTGATATTTGCGATATTGGGAACAACAATTAACCAATGAGGACTTGAAGTATTCCAGCGCATCAGTTGATAGCCCTGTTAAATCATGCGTTTGTGCCAGCAAGTTTTCGAATTGGGTCTCGATATCTAGCTGACGTTCGTTACGTTTAGGATAACAGAATTTGGAAGCGAGTGACAATACTTCAAGCAGTTCAGGTGAAAGGACCAACTTAGAATAATTATGTACATACTTTCCTGGATAGGTTATGAAGACAGCCTATGTATATTCCACCTTCCAGTGCTAGTATGGTATTTTCTTACTTCTTAGGAAACATAATGTATGAAGCAAATCAAAGTGTGACAGTGATGCAAATCCTTACTTGGTAGGCTGTTGTACAATCCTCGCTCTTGGCTTGCCGCACTGAAAATCTGGAATTTGAAGTCAATGTCTTCTGTCTCTCTATGTGATCTGAGACGAATCATCACCCTGGGTTTGTTAAATTCCGATTCATCTTGAGCCACGTCACCCTACTCCTTAGGCAGTGACGATATGTGCTCTGCCATACACTAGTGTTTTGAATTTAAATAACATGAATACGGGAATAGCAGATCATCAACAACGATCTGTCCACCATTACAAGTGGCAAGGATTCTCCACTTTACAAATACCTGTGACTGAGCTAATGTACACCGTGTTGCCAACGGTGTGTTGTACGGGAAGAAGGAAAGACCACTGTAATCTTTGCAACTGGTCAGGTGGATCAAAACAACATCGAGCAAACTAGACATTTTCAAGATAGGGCACTGCAGTTATGTGTCTCGTGTTAGTGAGCACGGTGTCGACAGTAAACCTACAGCGCGCGACAGGTTAGATCTGTGCACTAGCATACTTTCTGAGATGCCTCTGCCTCTAATACTTCTCTTATAATTTCGGTAGCGCTCAGTTCCCAAATAGGTTTTGATGAAAAGGAAATAAATCGCTTTTCTGGAATCTAGCCCGAAAAATTCCACATAATACTCCGTAGAATCAGGAAACGAGTGACTAAACCTTATGGTGTAGTCTACTTGAACTCAGCAACATTCATTGCATCGATGAAAGTTGTGTTGCAGCATGGTACTCGGCAGTAGAACTACTGTGTCCGAGGCATCCACCTAGTTACTTGTCTTACTTTCGGCGTTGCGATCAAGCTTTTGGCATAGGTCGTCATTTCAATGGTGTCTCGCCGAAAATACCACTTTGTGCCTAAGACGGTAGTCGTTTGGACGCCACATGTACCAATACCAAAAGCAACACGAAAGGAACGCATTTCACAGGAATAAGCTGAATGCCGTTACCACTACATCTTAATTGCAGCAACTTGCTCTCAGCGATTCCTAACCACAGCAACTCTAAGGGCAGTATAGACACTTCGGGAGTAAAAAGAAATCCAAAATATTTGAATGCGACATGTCGCAATCTCGAGCTGATCGTGATAATCGCTGACTTGTAGTTATCACGGCCATTGTAGTAGATATTGTAACTGAAGCATCGGATGGTGTAAATTATCCAAAATGCTGTTTCTCACATGTCAGTGCTGACATTATGTCCCTTGATATTATCTATTGACGAGATAGATTACAAATCCTATTTCAGTGTGCTATCTTGTACAGGACAAAACTGTATCTTTGCTGCAACCAGTCATAAACCCTCTTTGTTTGAAGTAAGATTTTTCCCATTGGTGACTGTAAGCAAATTCGTCACTGACCGATTTGGAAAGTTAACTGCAGTTTAGGATCAATTCTTATCGTGTGGGGCAGCAATTTCCTTTGATGCTACAAACGCCAACTGACCATTAATTAGGTAAATGGTGTGAAACACAGGAAATTTGCGGTGCAACCCAGAGGTAGTGATTTTCCATCGTTCAGCCCCGATAGATATTACAATCACTGTTGCCGCCCAAATTCAGCCAAATTCTGCACATCGGCTATGTTTGACAGCTTTGACAACCTGAATTTTCGCAAGAAGTAGAGTGTTCTGTTCTGATATAGAATGGACATTTTAATTGTTCTTCATACTTATCATCTGCAACTGTTGCAGGCTCGTTTCGGAGATGCCAGCGGCTTTTGCAAGTACAGCGGACAACATTTTGATTCTTTCTACAATTTTATTTTACATCTCAAGTATTTGTGACCACCATTAGCTTAACCTCTTTCCTTTGGTTGGCCATTCGAACTGCGATATTATCGCAGCGGTACATTGCTCACCTCTAAGACAGCCTTGTGAAGCAATTCCGAGACAAACAATTTGCCATTGGAGCACATTCGAGACAAGTCCGCATGCACCGAATCAAACGCAGAAGTCATTCCACATCGTTTGAGTAGTTCTTTCACGTCGAGTGCTTTCGACCCGGCTAGCCTGAACTTTGGCATATAAAGTTCCATCTCGATTAAATCAAGTTCAGTGTTCATCAGCTCCGTTAACTTTCCAGGTTCACGTAGATGAGCCAGTAGACCCGGAAACTTACTCTTCTCTCTGGTGAGAACAATCAACATTTCCCAGCTGCAAATGGGGGAAAGAGAGAAAGGTTGTGGAATCCAATGGGAACGGTGAGTGCAAAGAAATTCATTGGACCTAGACATGGTGCTTCCAAAGTGCCTATCATCATATTGTGGGACAAACTGAAACTCTGCGCATATTTTCCTCTGTCTGGTTGTTAGCATTTCGTACTTTTTACTGCTAAAACAAAATATAAAACGTAAAGAAGAAACTATTAATAAAAGCAACTAAATTAATAATAACCATCACTGTATGCTAGGTCATATATTATGCTTCTGTGCAATCAGCCTATGTAGGTTCACTGAGGTGGCTTTCAAATATGAAACAGCTAACGCACCTCACATTACTGCAAGTTTGAGAGGACAAATCTTTGACTGCAGAAAAGAAAAGATTGGGAAGTTTGTGTTATCCTTTCGCAACACGAAGATTTGAGATATGTGATAAACCTCTTCCCCATAGCCGCTGAACAATTGATGATTTAGTTTGATACACACGTTTGTGTGAGTTTGCGTACCTCATTCGACAAAACCAGCGTGTTTATAATGTCTAAGTAACTTTGTCAAGAAGCGTTTTGACAGAGGTTGTTCGTTTCTTGCTAACTTAGGAGTCGAGACTTCGGCTGATATCTCCCCGGTTTCCTGTCACCGTCCAGCCATCCCTACTTGACGAAACCATTCATGGAGTGTATACTTGCCAGTAGTTAACTCTCGAA